AAAAAGATTAATAGTGGTTCTCCCTCCAACTACTGTGTAAAGATAGGCCTGTGCTTAGGCCTATGAGCTATCCATTCCCGCCACAAATGCAGTAGTTTAGGTTGATTTTTAATAGGCCTGCTAAGAATCGGTCCAAATTTATATGGGCTACATTTTAATAAGACCAACTGTTTGGCCCAAATCAAGAAGTTATAGGCTTTTACAACTGGCTCGCTACTCATTGACCTTTCTCTTCCATGCGTCAACTCCGAAATCTATTTGACCCGTTTTGTGAACCCGAAACACGGGGCACCTATACATCCTTCTAGACCGCCTCGGATCGTGTTCAATTCCCCTTTTGGTTTGCTTCAGCCCTAATTTTCCTTCTCTTACGTTGATAAACACGGTTATACCTCACTAGCAGCTAGCCTCTATGTCGGAGAAATTTTCTGCTACGTTGAGAATTGGCGACTTGAACGATTACATAGCGCCATCGCAGGGCTGTGTGATCAAAACTGAGGTACCTAACTGGTTCGGTCCTCAACTGGGGTGCTTGATTTTGACTGGAATTTGACGCATTCTACTCTAAAAATGTTGTCTTGTTGGTGGGATTTTAGTTGATATCGGTCTTATGTGCGTGTACGTTTGATTTCAATTTGAATTTTACGCGGTTGTAATTTGAGTGCTTAATCTTGTTATTACGCCGTTTTTTGACGAACTGTGCTTTTTTGTTGTTTGGGTTCTCTTATTGTTAGTGTTGTTAATTTGGCTGCTTTCAGAATGCAGGGAAAGCTCGGACCACTCCTGAAGCAGCTCAAACTGAGCCTGTGAAAATCTCACTTAAAGACTGTTTAGCGTGCAGGTAAGATTAAAGTTTGGATTTTTTGTTGTATGTGTGAGAGAGTTGTCAAATAGTGATGAGCATTTTTTGTTTCTTGTGCAGTGGATGCATAACATCTGCAGAGACTGTCATGCTTGAGAAGCAGAGTTTGGATGAGTTTCTTTCAAACCTCAAGAAAGGAAAAGCTGTAATTGTGTCCATTTCTCCTCAGTCTAGAGCTTCTCTTTCTGTTCATTTCGGACTTTCTCCCCTTCAGGTATGATGTTACTAGGTTCCTGTTGGATGATAAATTGCTGGTTCTTCTACTTTTATGTATAGTGTATTTGCTGTTTTACACTGTACTCTCGATGCTATCCCAGGTCTATCGGAAACTTACAACTCTCTTGAAGTCTTTGGGTGTGAAGGCAGTATTTGATACCAGTTGCAGTCGAGATTTAACGCTTGTTGAGTCTTGCAATGAATTTCTAACACGCTATAAACAAAAAGATTCAGCCGATGCTGAGAAGTCAAAATCGTCTCTTCCTATGATTTCATCAGCTTGTCCAGGTATCCAATGCATTTTCTGAACTATGTTGTCCTCTGATAGATGTTGATAATGTGTTGCACATCCTGAATAATTCAATCTCGTTGCGGAAGTTATTCTTGATTGGTATGTGTGTTCATAATATGTACATAATCATTAAATATAGGGTAGTGATCGATGGGTCATGGTCCATGAATGATACTCTATGCAGGTTGGATATGCTATGCTGAAAAGACTCTTGGATCTTATATTCTTCCATATATTTCTTCGGTGAAAAGCCCGCAACAAACTATTGGAGCTGCCATCAAGAACCATGTATGGGAAGAACTGCATATCAGGTGATTTTCCGTTTGCATTGTTATATTATTGTGCATATTGTATACAATTGCACAGTATATGTCTTTGAATGAGAATGCATTGGGTTTTACAATTTTACTTTTTTTTTTGAAAAGCCATAGCAGTATAGCTTGAAACCAGTGACAAAAGCTCGAGACCCATTATTTTTTTCGTTATTTAGACGTAACATCTAGTTAGTGAAATGATTGTTTCTCATGTATGGTTTTCCATTTAAATCACACGTATAATGCTTGTCTGGGTTCTATTTACTCAAAAGAAAACTGCTTTTTGAGGATATTGTGTGTGTGTGTATGTGTGTGTGCAGGCCAGAGGAGATATATCATGTTACTGTGATGCCTTGTTATGATAAAAAGCTCGAGGCTGCTCGGGATGATTTTGTCTTCCAAGTGGATTCAGATAGTGAGAAAGTTACAGAGGTTGACTCGGTATTGACAACTGGAGAGGTTTTAGATCTAATTCAGGTATTTTTTTGGTGATAGCCATCCGAATCTGCAGGGCCAAGTATTCATCTCCCTTTACACTCGTGTTGTAAACTAGATAATTTTTCAATGTTGCAGATGAAATCAGTTGATTTTACAAACTTGGAGGAATTTCCAGTGGATAAACTGTAAAGATCCTATCTCGTTTCTAGTTTATCATCTCGAATAGGTTTTTTGATGGCTGAGGAGAGTAGATAAGTGTTTACATCTATATGCAGATTGTCAAATGTAGATGAAGATGACAATCTCTATGGCGTCTGTGGAAGCTCCGGAGGTTATGCCGACACAATATTCCGACACGCTGCGAAAGTGATTTTCGAGAAGGAAATTGAAGGCCCTCTTGAATTTAAGACAATTAGGAATGCCGATTTTCGTGAAGTGACTCTGGAAGTAAGAGTATTATATCTCGGTTTTATGACATTATGGGATATAAATATATCTTTATTTGAGAAACCCCATTTCTTGCAATGCAGGTAAGTGGTAAAACCGTGCTGAGATTCGCACAGTGTTATGGCTTTCGAAACCTTCGCAACATTGTCACAAAAATCAAATCCGGAAAGTGTGAGTATCATTTTCTGGAGATTATGGCATGCCCTTCAGGTAGCATTTTTTTTTTTAAATATATACTATATACCTGCATATTTTACGAGCCTCAATCAAATGGATAATGTTTATTCACTCGTCATATTTGCACCCTTTTTTTTCCTAGGATGCCTCAATGGTGGAGGTCAAATCAAACCCAAACCCGGCCAATCTGCTAAAGATTTGATCCAGCTTTTGGAAACAGCATATTCTGAAAACGTAAGTCTAATAACCGAAAATCGTGCCCTTCTCATATACAGATAGATTCAGAAACAAAATTTGCTTATATTCGTCTCAATCTTCTTCTATTAGGTAAAAGTGGCTGATCCTTTTCAAAACCCTCGAATCAAAAGATTGTACAATGAGTGGCTCGGTCAACCGGGTTCAGAGGTAGCCAAAAGACATCTTCACACTGAATATCACCCAGTCGTGAAGAGCATCTCCTCTGAGCTGCAAAACTGGTGAGAGTTTTGCTTGTTATTTTTGGCTGATGGTTTTTTCGGTTAATGCTTTGTTGTATATGGCAATAAGATTTCTCTTTTCACACACAAGTTGTATCTTTTACAGTGATTGTGTATCTCTGCATATTTTTTCTGTAGGCAGGTTGAATGTTTTGTTTTCTCTATAGGAATCCAATTTTGTTAGGATGTGTTTTTGGTGTAGAATTTTGTTTAGCTGGTCGTACACATGTTGTGTGTGCTTGTTCGATTTTTTTTTTTCGTGTTTATGTTGGTTGAAGAAAAGATGATGTTTGAACAGACATAGATAGAACTCCATGCTCTCTGCTCTGTTTAACACCTACAGGGAAGATCTAACTATGTAAAGATGACTATTCTCATAATGGGATATATTCTGTCTCTTGTTTATACAGTTCTTGAGACATTTGTTATGTGTATTCGAAACAACCTTGAAGTGATAAATATGTAGTTTTTTTTTTTTTTTGGCCTTTTTTTTTT